CGCTTACGGTCTCCGTCCCCAATTATGGCTCCTGTCACCACTAAATTTTCTTCCGTGCGCCAGTTCAAAATTCATGGTGAATTATTTTCGATTTTTTTAGATGAAAGCTGTGAAAGGTCGTTAAAGCCAAATGAAAAATTTGAAAAAGAAAACAGACAAAAACCCACTAAATACATTTCAATTGGTTACTTTCTGTAAGACCGCTTCTTTACAGAAACATTTACACAGACGAGTACTATCCATCCGGGTATTTTCCCTGGACGGGCTCTATGGGCTGATAGTGTCTCTCCACGGATGAACACTATCGCGTCACGTGATCAATTTAAACCAATAAGAATCGGAGAAAATTTAGTGGTGAACTATAAGGACTGATAGTGTCTCTCCGCGGATGAACACTATCGCGTCACCTGATCAATTTAAACCAATAAGAATCAGAGAAAATTTAGTGGTGAACTTTAACACCCCTTATTATATGGCCAGCTCCGTGAGCAGGCAAGATGAATCAAATCCTGTGCTGTGATTGGCTACCCGAGCGGGCAAGATGGAGCTATCTTGCCCGCTCGGGACTACCTTCCGTGTCCCACAAGAAAAATTTCNCAAGATGAATCAAATCCTGTGCTGTGATTGGCTACCCGAGCGGGCAAGATGGAGCTATCTTGCCCGCTCGGGACTACCTTCCGTGTCCCACAAGAAAAATTTCCCCGAAAGCAGGGCTCGAAATTAACTTTTTCGTTCAGGAGCCAGCTGGTGACTAATGGAAAAATTTTGGTCGCCAGATCGTAAATTTTGGTCGCCAACTTATTTTATATAATTATAGCTTACACAAGAACAGGATTTTATACGTTACTTTGCATGCAAGAAAAGTCACAATTGAAGAGCGAAAGCAATTAAAAACAACACGAGTAACACTTAGTTATAAAGCTACTGTTGTTCTCAGGTGATGTGTCTCTGGTCCGAAGGTGATGGTTGTCTCCATAGTCATTTTAAATCAAGCGAAGCATAAAACGTTTTAAGTCCGTGGTTTTCATTGTCAGACAAACACGCGTCCTTGCGTATTTTCCCTTTGCTACTTCTTCGAAATGCCGTTCTTTATTTTTGAATTGCTTTCCTCGCCGCCTTTCGCTGCCGACAAACAACGCTATGCTTGAGTCTTCATTCCCCGCACGCAAAAAACTCACTTAAATTCCTTCAACTGATTGGTATCTGCCGCCCGGACAATTTCGCAGCAAGTGAAATGCACATGTTGTTAAAGTGCACACTGCGATCACAGTTTCGGAAGAGGCCGCTGGAACAATATGGCGCACCGTGAACGCAGTATCGACGTGTCGAAATACATTCAATTTTTTCGATTATCTTGTAATATTGAGACATCATTTTACTGGAGACGGAAAGGTGAGTTGTATACTAGCTACAATATCCGATTGATTTCCTAATATAAAGATTTAAGAACAAAGCTGTGCCGTGGTTTTCTTTAGTTATCGGACAAAACGCGAGTCGCCAGTGCTCAATTTTTGGTCGCATTGGCGACCAGTGAGTCGCAATTTCGAGCCCTGGAAAGCCATATAATAAATCCTTTATTGACCAAGCTTTTTCGGTCAAGATGACTGGATATTAGCCTCGTTCTTTTTTTGCATGTTTATGGACCTCGACTCTGACTCAGTCCATAAAACATGCAAAAAAAGAACTTGGCCAATATCCAGCCATCATCTTGACCTCACACTTGGTCAATAACCTATATATAGAAATCTTGAGCTCATAATCTAATAAATTGTTTTAGCAGAATTCAAGAAACCGCCAATGTTCTTCTTTTAGTCTTCTCAGCGATTTAATTATCCACTCACATCTAAACTTTCGTTAAATCTTCGGAAAAAAAACGTTGCATTTCGTAGACAACCAACAGCCACTGCAGTCTAATGGCTAATAGTGTACGAGTAGCTCAACCAATCAGATTGCAGCATTTACATTGGTAGACTAGCAGAATTCTACTAATTTTCAATATTCTTAGTCTCACCTGATGAATTGTTTCCTATAGCCGACAAGTTTTCCATGTCAAGGTTGCTGGTCACTTCAAGGACATTTCCAAGTAACATTTCCTGAAATGGCTTCCTCGTTAATGTCAATTGAAGAAGCTCAGATATACCAAGTATCATAACTAAAGTTTCAATGACAAGGATAGCAATGTTGAGAATTGATTTCTCCTTGTAATAAGGATCCTTGCATTGCATTGCACTTTCCGTCTGGTTGACTGAAATTGAGTTCTTGTTTGTCTGAGAGGTGTGTGGGTTGCATTCAAACTCTGAAGGCAGATCAAGGGTCTGAGAACTGCAAAAGACCGCGATCATCCCACCGAGGAACACAAGTCGGAAGACCACATGAATATTGTACATACAGTGCAACTTTCCCCACTGAGCTTGTCTGTGGTTTGGCTGGGCTTCTTGATCTCTTTTGATCTGTCGTATTGTCACATTAGTGTAGAGAGAGAAGCAAATCCACGAAAGACATAAAACACCATAGATAATCGCAACAACATTCCGAGGTATTAGCCAAGGGCTCATGGTAGAGGTGTACTCGTCATAGCAGTTGAAATCATCGGGCTTAGAGCCCGGCTTAGAGGGACAGCTGAAATTCTTTCTATCATTGGCATGATAGGATTGTAAACCAACCAATACTCCACCAAAGCCGAGGAAAACCACAACGAACTGAACAGCTCCAAAGATGGTTTGTGAAGTGAGTGCTTGTTTGAACAAACCAGTATCCATTGTGGAAAGTATCTGCAAAGGACAAAGTGATGAAAATATGAGTTAAAATGCTATTTGGATAAAATAATTAATTAAAATTGCTCCCAGGAAAATTATAACCAAATTTCCTATCTTCAACAATGAGATCACCGAAAGCTTCAATAAAAAAATTATTTCTTTTAAATTGATCTGCTGTTAAGTATCAAAAAATCATGAGCATTTTTTTGTTTGCTCTGCCTTCTTTATGTCACACAAGGCATGGATTACACGCCACGCATGCACTAGGATTAAAATTGATGAAGTCAACTATGCCACTGTGAGTGTGACTGAAATAAAAGCAAAATTTTCCTACTGTGACCAAATCAAGTTTAGTGCGATTCAAGAGTGTAATATTATCATCTCTGAAAAATGTGTGGCAATCCTTAGTTACTTTCAGATTCCAAGAGCCCTTGCTCAGATCTTCTTTTTCCACATGCCTGTTCCATTTTCATATTCTCGTTATTGGTCTGAAACAAGCTTGCAACTGAGGCTAATGCAGAGAGCCTTTTCAAATGCAAATGACATTATCCTTTGTAATGATATTCACCCTGAATGAACCTCCGTTACAAGCTAGTTTCAATTCAATGCTGAGAAAACGAAAATGGTCTACCAGGGAAAAGATCTTTGTATGTAGTAAGTATCCCCACAAATAATATTACTGTGTCATGGTCACTTGCATGTATGAATTACACTGAGACATGCATTAACTGGAAGCACAGTAATACACTCTGACTGTGTAATTTAAGTTTATCTTTAAGTTGTTCTAAATTTCATACTAATCTCAGTTGCAAGCTGCTGATATTTTTTTCTCAATTTCTTGTTTTCTTTAAAAGCACACCCTATTTTGTTTAGTTAGTTGTACTAATGTTCTTGTCAACAACAATAACAACAACAACAATCTTTATTTTCTTTTATTGTAAAATTGCATAACGTAAAATTACTTTATATCAAATAAAACAGTCTAAAACATTACACCATCCATAACCAATCTGATTTTTTTTTTCTATTTGAGAAATAAAGTGTTGTTATTGTTGTTTGCCTCGTTTCTTCTAAATAATCAAGTGTAAGTTTGGGCTCAATTTGTGATCTGGAAGTCCAGACCTGAAAAACCCTCATGCCTGGAATTCCAGGCCAATGAACCCTCCCATGTCTTTGGAATTCCAGTCTATGGGCCCCCACCCCCTCACACTTTTTGCTGTATATATTCAATAATTCATGTCTTTTTGATCATTTGTTAACTTAAAGGCTGTGGGTTGGCAGTTGAAAACTCATTTTAACCTAAATTTTCAACCAGAAAAAGTTTTAATAGTTTTAAAATATTGATATAGGCTTGAGGTTAAATCCTTGTCTAATGACACTAGCATTTACCTTGTACAGTATTTCCTGTCTCTTTATCCTTAGGCTTTAAGATCAATATGGGGTAATCTTGAAACAACCAGGTTGATAATGAGAATACTGTCCTGCCAATGAAAGATGACATTATTAATATTAATATAGTGTAAGACAAATTAAATCCTCAGGACTCAAAAAAATTGAATTCCAGCATGATTCCAGCTTGTCCTTGGGACCAGTAGCTCTAAAATTCTGCTTGCCCTGGGCAAGTCTTCATTTGNGAAAATTTACAACGTGTCTATGCCGGGGGCATAAAGCGCCTGAAATTTCATAACTTTGCGAATTTGCACTAACTTTGAAATTTTACAAGGAAAGACTCACAAACTTGGCTAAGTTACCAATGCTCTTTTCAGCAGTATCGACAGATTTTCGCTACATGGCCATTATTAAAACTCAGAATACAGAAAACAGTCTGGAAAGGTCTAATAGACTAATCATGGAGCGAATTCAATATGCTACGTCGCTTGATTTCCCCTTGTCCTAATTTTATAACAAAATACTATGTCTTATGAACTGATGAAAGACAACGCATTTCGTAAACTGTGTATTATAAATTTCTTGCTAGAAGACAGAGCTGGAAAAGTTTTTAAACGGGGATGGAACCAGAAATTGTAGACATGATTGATCGGTTTACGATGACACTACATATTTACATGCGCTCACTGAAATACTGTCTGGTCGCATTTCTGACGTTGCTAACCAATATACACCCTTGAAAAAAGCAACAGAGATTAAAAGACTCATACAAACAAACGTAAATTACTAATTACCTAACAATGAAGTGCCTTCCTTTGGGAATGCGGATCCGGGAATACAAGATAGTTGAAGACGCTACAACCTTCCGCGGTTCCGCCATACCTTCGATGCACTATCGACATCAACTGGAACTTGTTATGCCTCCCAACGCCATTAAACTCGTCAACGTTTTCTGATTGGAGGAGAACGTGTCATGTGGCGCACAGGGAGCCTTCGCATCCGTTTAGAGTATAATAGG